TAACATTTCTTACTGATCTTGCTCCTGTACAGCTAAATGCATAGCCTGAAAGCTAGACATAGCAGTACAAATACTTTCTGGTTTTTCTGCATCTGTGATAGAAAATGTCATGTTCAGCTGGTAACACTGCAAATTATTAGTGTGAGAAGCTGTAAAATAGAACCTTGATAATGTATGTGTGTGAATTTAATGGCTATGAGTAGATTAACCTTGATCCAAAAGGTGACAACCTTGTCTTGATTTATAACAAGCAGTTATGTTACCAAAGAGAGATAATTTGCTTTGAACGTTCTCCTTTACAGCTGTACTGTATCACATTAGCTGCTGTACTTCTCACAGAAAAAATACCTGGATTTCTCTGTGTAAACATCAAGTAGCCTCCAAAACAGACAGTTGGTTTTATTTAAATCTCAGTATTTATCTCACAGGGGAACATCTGATACAGGTGTTTGATAACTGCTGACTGTTTATTTTCAGATTCAGAGAGAAGTTGTATATATTCAGGGCAATTATGTTAGCAGTGTACTGACCTGGCTCTGAAGAAATCTTACTTGGAAATTCAAACTCCTTGATCACCCAAAATACTGTAGCTACACAAGCAGTATAAAGTTAGAGGGATCATATTTGTTAGTAATAAATATTCATGAAAAAGAGCATTGAAACCAGACATCAGCACTAACCAGATCTGTTAACACTGAGCTTTGCAAGTGTCAGGAGGCACCTCACTGTACTAGTGCTGCATGAAAGTTTAGATGCTCAGTGACCTCTGGTTTTAAGTGGATTTACAATTTTAGAGGCTAAAATAATTTCACTGGACTAAATGGGCTATGCTTTGAGACAAAATGTTATTGCCATATCTTTACAATTGGAAACTGCTAATGGCTTCCACATCCTCATGCCCTTTTCTTTAATTCTGCACGTTGAGTGGAATAGCAATAATGGGAGAATGTCTTGGGCTCCTGGGATAAGAGATGAGAAGCTGTTATTAATCTCTCTTAATAGCTGTATTTTCCAAGCTCTCATTTGTTGAAGTTCAGCAAAGGGCCAATTGCTTTAAAATGGTAGGAAACAATTAGAAATACAACCTTTATTAAAATAAATAACCGGTGATAAATTATTTTAGTATTCTGTTCTTACACCCTAAACTTATAATACAGATTTTATAGCCTTGCTTGAATTGAAAGGACAAAGTAGCACCTTTGGAGTTTAGCTTTGCATATTGTTCCATGTTACCTGAAAATAAAATCAAAGATCGAGCCTGTAATGGGTATATTTTATGTCATTTGAGCCTACTGACTGCACTTCAAACAAGCTCTCATTGCAATTTCCATCCCTTTGCATAGCAGATTCCTGCTGATTAGGTTCAAAACTCCTTGCTGATTAGTTGCTGATTAGGTTCAAAACATGGCTTTCCACCACCAAATAGATACAGCAGGGCTGAAATTCTGTGCCTACAGGAATTAGGGAGGAGCAGGAACAGAATAGCTGGGAAACTGGGTTGTGATTTTGCCCCCAAATTTTAAGGATCAGCATGTCAGAATGTCTCAAAGGCCATCTGGCAGGAAGACAAAGGATTTCTGGTAGCCCAGCTTCATCTCAGCACTGTACTGGAAACATAGCTGAGCTACCTTTTAACTGGCTCTGAAATAAGATCTTTGTACCTAAATTCTCCTTATCCATTCTCCAACACAGCTTCCTAAGAGAGGCTGGGCAGTAGTAGTATTTTAATAGCTTAATGCTCATGATCTTACTGGTTATTGGTTGTAAATCTACAAATCCCCAAGTTTTTTGCTCTTCTCTGGCTGCCTCACAGCTGGCACAATATCTACCAGAGAAGTAGTCTTAGATGGAGATTTGTGCTGCAGAGATGCAGTGCAGAAAACTGAATTAACTGCAGCACTTTTCCCTCTCCAGCCTTGTGGCTGGAAACCTGCCTGGCAGGGGTTGAATTCAGTGCAGAGATAGCAAGTGACAGCTTGGGGTGATGCCTAATGATTTTTGTCTATTTTTTTTTTTCTTTTCTATAGCATCTGTATTCTTCACACATATATTTGTAGCTTTGTAGCCTGTTATTGCATTTGTAGCTAGTTTTCCCAGTGCTTTTCCCTTCCCTGACAGGCAGAAAGACAAAACACATTCCTCTATCCTGTCTTGGTTCTCCTTAGAAAACAAGGCAAAGAAACAGCTCTTCAAGACACATTTTCATCAACAATGTTTAGGACTGTCTGAGGGGAGAGGATTTAAAAGGGGCTTGGGTTGGGGGGGGAGAAATTGCACCACCACTTTTGCTCCTAATTGGTGATTTTTGTCAAATATGGTAATTTGCTAAACCTATAAAACTGTATTCACCCACGTGGGGGTGGGCTTTTGTGGACATTTTTCATATCTGGAGGCCTCCAATAATGATAAACCTTTACATTACCTCCTATACTATCATTATCTTGAAAGTGTGTGTTGTTACATATATAGGTTCTTAAGGCTTCATTTTTATTTCATATTTATTTGTGGGTATTGTGATTGTTGGGCACCAGCACTCAGGGCAGGCCTGAGTTTTCTGAGCCTTCTTGTTTTGGAAAACAGATTTATCTCTGATACAAAAGAGAATATTGGAGCTTAGCCAGATCTTTAGACACAAAGGGCACAGGTCTTCTTTATTCTGCAGTTATTTAAGAAGATTTGGGGGTTACTGGAATGCAGGTGAGTTGCAGAACATCACTGTTCAATAGCACTTGTTCTGCCAGTGATTCTCTCATTCATCAAAACATCAGGAAAGAAGTTCTCTGCTATGATAATGCTTAAGCTACAAGCTGGAGGGGAAATAAAACTGCAGGCAGGCTGCATGTCAGAAGGGTTACTTACACAAACAGCTTTGATAGCACTTTAGAATCTGCTTTTCTTCTGAGGTGGAAAATCGCACAGGATGTGCAGATGGGACCTTTTTGCAGCTGGATGTAGGCAGAGCACACTCTGTTAGCATTTCTGGCATCTGTGCAGCCTGCAGGATTGCTCCTGTGTCCGTGGGCAGGGCACAGCTGCGGCTTTGACTGGCTGCCATGCCCTGCAGAAGGGATGGGGGGAATCCCTGCATCCTAGGAATCACATGGGCCCATGTGAGGTGGCATCAGCACAGGCTCTGTGAGCCTCTCCTAAACCATTTCCACTCGGCTGAGCAGAGGAAGTGAACATCTTGCGCTCCAAAGCACCAGTTTTGTGATAAAAATCATGAAAAGAAATTTGTTCTTTTGTCTACTGTGCATTTGTCTGGTTGCAAGAAAATATAATTTCACCATTCATTTATTCTTCTGTTTTATAATAAAGATGTTCTTTGAAGCCCACTGATCTGGATTGCTTGTGCCTTAGGCATGGGAAGCAGGTTATTACTTGGCTTTGAAACTGAAGGGGTAAGAAATTTATGAAAACTGGTTCATGCAGCCTAAGATAGTTAATGTTGGAGCAGGTGTGATTCACCAGTATTCCCATTTTTGTGCTGGGCTCTGTGAATTTAATAGGATATGGCTGAAAGGGGCAGTAAATCAATCTGTAAATAACTCTCTTAATACCACCTTTTCCACTCTTGGTTTCTCTGGCTCTTACAGTCACCAGTCCAGATACTGCTGATGGGATTGTGAGGTGTGAGGAGAAATCTGTCTGAGGGAGCAGCAGGGGTGTTGGGAGAAGGGGAAGGCAGCATCCACATTGGCATTGTAATTGTGGATGCATGAGTGCCACTGGAGTAGCAGAACACCTGCATCACAGGCATTGCATCAATGGTTTCTCCTGACTTTCTTTTACTGCCAAAGCTCCCAGCAATTTGCCTCTGTTTTGGCATTTTCAGCTGGATGACATTTCCAACCGCTGCCACGTGTGTGCTCTGCAAAACTTATAAAAAGTCAATTGCTAGGGTCAGTTTTCTGGTAAAATAAACACTCCTGTGGCCATAGAAATGTGAGGTTTTAGTCAGTGCAGAAATATGTACAGCAGTGAAAACCATGATAGTTTAGTACTCTTAAGTTTGAGAAATAATTTTGCCCTGATCAGATAAAAGTTTCAGTTATTCAGTCAGAAGTTTAAAATAAACAAAATAAAATCCATGCTGGTGGCATTGTCCAAATTGGACTTCTCAGATAATTATTCTGAAAATTGTCTTAAAAGTCTAAGAGCTGGAGGCTTCTGACTACAATATACTTAATTATATGAAGATGCATTATTTAGTAGATACTTAAAGAGTTTATTTGCCTTTCTTCTTGTCTCCAAAGTATTATGCAGAAAGGACAAGTTAGTATCCAATGTTTACTCCTCTTTAATCCATACAGATGTTGTATATTGGTGGTGATTAATTTGTTTTCATACAGAAAACACCCAAAATTAATGGTAACATGTCTTTGTTTTTCCCAGGGAGGCTGAATTTCAACATTTCCTATTTACCCAGCCCACTTTCTTGTAATGATCTGACTGCTGTTATTACTTGTGATTGTCACAAAGGGCACAGATATGAACAACTACAACCTGTGCATTTGGGAAAAACATCTGTTTATCACTGAGGTGAGAACAGACGCTTAAATCTTCACATAATCTGATATTCAGAAGCAGAGAGCCTTGAAGATATGTCTGTGCCAGACTAATTGGCATTTGTCTTTTGAGATTTGTGTATACTGTGGAAGCACTAAGAGGAAGAGCTGTTTAATGAGGGAGACTGGGAGGAATTGTGATTTTCCTGTGTGTTATCTTCTCCTTAGGAGAAGGGAAAGAAAACATCAACTTTTCAAACATACCCTTAAACAACTACAATTTTGGGCTTTCATGCTCGTGTTTAGGACTCTTTCATGGCTGTTGCAGGGGTCATGTGAGTAGCTTTCTCTGTGAAAAAGCTAGAAATGCACCTGCTGAAATGCCCCAAGTTTCTGGGATGTCATTATGCCTCACAGATTGTTGTCAGTCAGATCTTGTGCACTGATGAGCCTCTTCTGCAAAGCACAGAACACTCTCCACGGATCCTGGGACAAAAAAAAAGACATTTCAGGTCTTGCCCATCGGAAGGTCAGGCATGAGGATTTTCTAAGCAGCACAGTCTGCCATGCTGCACATTTGGTCTTAAAAGCAATTTTTCTTTTTTCTTATAGAGGATGAGAGCAAAGAAAATATTCTCAGCCCTGAGGAAACTCTTCTTCCTAGGAATGCCTTTCGTATGCTAGGAAAATTCAGCGGCACAACATAACTCTTGGTGAGTTTCTAATCATTAGCAAAATTTTGATTTTGAAATGGAGTATTTTTGGTGTTACAGACTATTTTTTTTAAAAAAAAATATTTCCACAGTAGTTTTTTCTCCTCATTCCCTCCCATGTATTGTCACTAGTGAGGATAGACTGGAAGGATATCACAAGCTCCTGCCTGGATTTATAGGGAGCTTGCATTCAACACACTGAAGCACCCTGATCTGCAACTCTTACAATTTGGAATGAATAATGTTGGAATGATGCATGAGCTTCATTGTAGCTGTCATGCTATTTCCAAGAATTTCAGTCTTAATGTCCTTTTATTGTGAATGACATAATGCGTAATTTGTCTGTGTAATTAAATGTACTTTTATCGTCATGACAAAGAGTTACCATAGGATGATGCTGAGAAGATTTAAGGTTATTTTACTGAAGTTTTTGTCTTCTCTGCAGTTCATGACTGTGAAACACACATGAACTGCAGGAGCAGTAGCCTCCAGCATTTAGATGAAGGCAGCTTATGCCCTCTGCTCAGCTCATGACGTTTTTAGACTCCATGTGAGTGGTAGATGCAGGAGCAGAATGGTGGGAAGCAGAGAGAAAGTAGAAACTCAGGAGAAAAATACAGGTTCAGAGCAGTTTCATCCCTTAGCAGAGACTTTTATTGACAATACTTGGGGGCTTTCGATAGCATGGACTTGTTTGTAGAGGAGGAGTCCAAATTATAGCTTGACTAACTTGTTACAGTAAAGCAGAGCTGGGGAATCCTACTCTTCTGATAAAGTCTTTCTGTGCCATCCATATGTGGTAGAAAGCCCCATCCACGTGTGGATAAATTCTATACAGAAAAGTCAGGGGCAAGGCCTGTTTTTGATGTCTTCAGCTGCCATTACAGCTACTTTGTGAGAGATCAGTTAGAGAGGGTTGTGCTGAAGAACAAACCTTGGTGGAGTTCTTATTGTGGCAGAGGAACATGTGTGAATGTGTGGTTGTATTTGGGATTTTTTCCATTGAATGGCTGCTGCAAAAAGCCCCTCAGGCTAGGAGCTGTTCGAGTGTAGAGGCAGAAAGGCTGCTGGTTTCTGGAGGGCACCCCATAATAGGGAAGTAATGGTGTGCACATTTCAGGAATTTTTAAAAAGATGAATGAGATGTGGCAAACTTCAGTGCAGGCCACATGTATTGCACACTGCTGATTACCCAGTCTAGCGTTTTTTCTCCCATAAATGATCTAGTTTTGCATTATTGCTCAAGTGTGTTGCACAATCATCTAATTACATAGTGAGATGCCAATTAGAAATAATGCTACAGCAGACCATTACAAGTCAATTTGATGTGCTTTTTTCCACAGTAAGCATTAATTTTTGGCATTGTTTTTCTCACTACCACCTCCACTGTCTGAGAGACAGCAGTACAGATCACCAGTTCGATATTTCTCTTGTGTCTGTACAGAAAAAAAAAAAACACTGGAAAAGGCCACCTGTTATTTTAAAATCAGCATGGAGGAGTTCCTACTGTGTACATGTGGAGCTAGAGCAGGAAAACTGCAAAGAGCTACACAGCTGTGGGCAGGTCCAGAGCAAACACCCAGTGCCAAGCAGTCAGTCAAGAAACTGTTGTGGGAAGAACTGAAACAAGAGACTTTGCAAGCAAGATTATTGGCATAGCCTTTGGAAAGAAGGTAAGAGTGTTTGGTTGGGGTGTCTTTCCCCTCTAAGCAAATAAAATATTGTATCCTGAAGTGCCTGTATTTCCAGTGAAAAATGCAAGCATGGTTCCAATGAGTAATGAAGGGATTGAATGATGTGTTCATGTTGTTCTACAAAAGACTGCTCAAATCCCAACCAAAAAAAACCTCAATTGTCATTTCCAGGTTTCTAGGCCAAAAAGCTCGGTGCTTCTCATTTACTGGAGGTTTCTAGAAGTGTGAGGGTTCTTTATACAAGATACTGAAATGTACTGGAAGAGGAATTGTTTTCCCCCCAGTGCTTTGTAATTGCCATTACTTATGCAGTAGTGGTCTTCAGTTTGCTTGACATGAGTGATGCCTTTTTAAGGCTGAGTATATTTAGAGGGGGAAATCTGTAAGATGTTCATCAAAGAAACACCAACCAAAATTTTGATTCAACCTCATTTCAACCAAGGTGAATTACTGCAAGTAATACATATAGAGAAGTAAAAATGGATATGAGATACATCCTCAGGCTTCACTTGATAAAACTTCACTAAATAAAAGCTTCTTTCATGTACTGGTGGCAGGGTGAGTAGATTTGATGCAAGGGCTTCCAAGTTTGCACATCTGACACAGGCTGTACCTTTTTTCTTTCCAAGACTTGATATTTTAGATTGTGAGTTATCAGATAGATTGACTGAATATATTTCTACATCCAAGTGAAAGAATAATCATTTTAGCAAAAGATTTTAGGGCGTAATTGTGAATAGATTGCTTATATAGAAATGCTAATTACACATTTCAAATGAACATCTGTGGGAAAATAATTATTTCTGTAAGTGTTTCTAGTAACAGCAGCACATGGATTTTGTCAAAGTGGATGGTTATGGGTGTTGTTTATACGTTTCAAGTGTTCTCTGAGGTGAGAAAAGGTACAATACTTCTTCTATTTGTGTTCCTGTAGCTCTTCAACAGTGTAACTAAGATAACTCTTACAAGTTAGGTTAAAAACATCTTGCTTTGAGTAGTAGATTGGTCTGATGTCCCTTCCAACCTAAATTTTCCTGTGATTCTTACATTTATGTGAAATCCTATGGTATCTAAAGATGGCCAATTGCTTACTTAGGCCTTGCTAGCTGTGACTTCACTCCATCCTGCAATTCTACCATGACATAATTTCTCAAATACTTGGAAGTGGTACAGTGGAAGCAAGAAAATTCTGATAGTTGCACCAAAAAACCTCTGTTAATATTTCTATGAATTAAAATCTCTAAACATTTTCAAAATTGATCCAACATTTTGCATGGCTGAGTTACAGATCAGTTTACAATATATTTAATTTTTTAAATCTATCCACATACAATGGCATTTTTAAAGAGAGAAATATTTATTCAAGGCTTTTTGTATGCTTCAGAGGACATTATTTTGAGCCTTGTGTTGACGTCAGGGAGCTCGTTATCATTTCCATCATAACAACAGTGATAACTGTGATAACCACTTTATGTCTGACAACAACAGCTGGCCAGAGTGTTTTATAAGTATTCAAGCTTTTTTAAAAAGTAAGTACAGAACAATAGATTTTTCATTGGTTTTTGTCATATTTCAGACAGTATTCCAGCTAGTCTCGTTCACATTTCTCAATCCTTAATTTTGAAGAAAGGAAATCAGTGACGTTGGCTGTTATGGGTGTAATGAGATGACTCTCAGAGAACATCAGAGCTGCTCCTGGGGTGCAATGCAAATCCTTCTGAGCATCATCATTCATCAACAAAAGTCAAAACAATCCTGATTTTTTGAAGACTTTGTTTCTATACTCCCTGATTTCACAAATTTCACACACAAACATGCTGCAGTGCTTTAACTGCTGATTGTTCTCCCAGCTTTGGAGTTTTGTCAACAATCAGGGGAAACTGCTGACTGCATAATTAATCCACTTTGTGAAGATGTTCAGCAACCTTTGGAAGAAAACATTATTGTTTGTGCTGAACACATGTTTACTTAAACAAACTGACAGCTGGATTGCCAGAGTGAAGTCAGAGCAATTCCTCCAGAATCCAAAGTGCACTCGAACAGGCAGGAGGTTTGCTTGCTCCTGTGTGAATAACTGTCCCAATCTCCTTCAAAGCAAAACCTTTTTTGATATGTTTCTCTGGATTTCAGGCCCTTTGAAATCACCTTGTTTTACAAGCCACTTCAGAGCTCCAGTATCAGCACCTTAAAATCTTAATAGTCACCAAACTCCCATTCTTTATTCTGTATATATCCATTTTACTGTTTGAAGCACTTCCTTTTACAAGGCCCCACACAAACCAAATGTCACTCAGTTCTGGGAAGCTGCCCTTATCCCACTGTGCTTGTGAGGAATTCCATCTTGTCCTCCATCAGCACCACAGTGGGAGATACCCATGAAAGCTCAGGACAAGAACATCAAAACTCTTTGGCAAAATAACCCACAAGTATAGATGTTTTGATCCTGATAGTTCTAATCATCCTGATCTCTATCCATGGCCATCTTTTGGGATTTTACTTATGAAAAATTGCTTTTCCAAAAAATTCGTGTTCTAAAAATGAAACTTTCTTTGGGGGGATTCCCAGAAAACCTTTGGGGTCAGGGTATGGAACACTTTTCCCTCATTTTATGGAGGAATTCAGGTGACTTGTGCTGACTTCCTGTAGTTCCTTGTGACAAACCAGTGACAGGCATCAGATTTCTGCACTCTTATACTGTCCATTCACCACAGACCTGACCTTTCCTTGAGGCAATGATCTCAATATTAATTCATTACTCATGAATATTAAGAGAGAGGAAGAAAGGAGCAGTGGAATGGTGGAAGATAAAAAAGAAATAAAGAAAAATAATTTTCTGACAAGATGTTATAGGGAAAAAAAGTTTAACTGGGATGGTCTTTCTTGGGAGCAGTGAACAAGCAGCACAACAGCAAGTGCTGTTTCAAGTTCATAGTGGATAAATACCATAGATTACAGTTTGGAAGAAGTAATTTCAGCTGTTTGGGCACCTTACTGTGTGTTCTATTAATGGCAATATAGTGATATTTGCAGTGTTAGTGGCTCCTTAGCTGGGAAGGCTGGTCACACAGGTGGCAGTCATCGAAGAGCAACAACATAAGGGGGTGCTTGGAGAGTGGGAGGAAGATACCAGAGTTTTAATGACCTAAAAGTGAAATATTTGAGATACATTAATAACATTAGTTTTTCCCCTTGGGTTATGCTTGAATAATGAGGACTGTAGTACCTGCAAAAGTACTGTGAAGTAAATAACAGCCAGGGATTTGAAGAGTCTTGAGGAGTCTTGAAGAGTATTGAGACACTCTAAGCAAAGAGCAGATTTTGAATAAGGTGCTGATTACCCAGGGACTGCTGTACTCCACAGCCAATCTGGAATTTGCTGTGAGATTGGTTTAATTATATAAGGTATGCTGCTCTGAGGTACTAGGGTTGCTAAAAGACAGAATTCCCAGAAGATAAGCTGGTCTTTAAAACTGAACGACTGAAAACAGCAATTTAATTAAAACTTTAGTACTTCTGGGAAGGTTTTCCAATATAGGCAGAAGGACTAAATTTACTTTTTTTCCTGATAATTTTCCCCTAAACACTGGCTTGCTGGGACTGATGGAGGCTAAATACCTCTGCATCCCACACAAATTTCCTTCAGTTGTCCTGCTCATGTCCCAGCTGTGTCCTGGAGGCCCTGCCAGCAAGGCACCCATCCTGCCTGTTCTCCTGTTCTCACATTTGTGAGTGGAAAGGTTTTTCCCCTCACCATACACAATCTATTTCCCAACCCTCTTCTCTGTACAGCAATGGGTGGCTGCAAACTGACAGCAAGGCGTGTATGAAGGAGATCTGCTGGAGACTCACATGCTTTATTTAGTGTTCACCAAGCATAAAGTAAATTTTTTCCCTCATGAATAAATGTATGGCATAGATCCCTTTCATTGCTAAGGAGGACAATGCTTCTCCTAGGGAGGTGTAAAGCTGAAATAGATTATTTTAAAACTAAAACATTTTCATCCTCTGCCTGCTCCTAGGTGCCACTCAAATATAAAAGGTAGGAATTGTGACATGCAGGTTGTTCAAAAATGCCACCTTTAAAACCTCTCAATCTGTTTAATACCCAAAAGCTATTTGGGCACAGTGGTGCTTCAAGACTGAACATTTTTTAAAATTCCAATCTCTTCCCCAGAGACCCAGGAAAGCTTTTAACCACTGTCATTGAGGCTGGTGGCAAAATTGGTAACTACAATTTTCTGGCAATGTACACATTCCTCAACTTAGCTTTCTAGTGTATCAGTAACTTTCACCCATTTCTCTGTGCCACTTCAGGATCTTGACATGTTCTGTCTTTTGCAAGAAAGTAAACTTGATTGTACTATGGCTTAATACAAAATAATGAGCTTTACTAGTCTTACCCAGCCTTGCCACAGGGTTTTGTGCTTGAAATTTCATTAGACTGGAGAGGGTTTTCTGCCTGAATGCACCTGAATGGGCATCCACCCCAACATTTGCTTCCTGTGTCTTTTTCTGTCAACACTGTTTTGTTATCATTTTGCAAAAATGCAGAGGGAGAAACTTTAGATCCAACAGATTTAATCAATAAGGATTTCAGTGTAGAAATGCTTGTAGCTAGAACTTAATACAGGGCTCAGATCACAATGACTAAAAAGAAGGGCATGAAAGGGATTTTTTTTTGAGGCTGGAATGTGTAGGTTTCTGGAATTTCTTATTCTGGGTAAGAAAGATTAATTGTGATAATAATAAAACTACAGCACTACAGCTAATGATAACATATGATAATATCTAATGAAATTATAGTAATGATATTTGAAGGCAGCTTAGGGGCTCTTTTCTGCCTTCCTCAGTCCCTCAGGGTGGTATGTCTAGACTCTGCAATCCTCCTGTTTGTCATGTTAAGAGGGCCTAGAACAAAGCAAACTCCTTTGCTTTAACAGCAAAGACTCCTGGACGTCTCTGTTCCTGTGATGCAAGGTCAGAAAGGGTTAGTCAGGTCCATTTTGCCCTCAGTCCAGTCTGGCAGATCACACAGGCCTCAGGGCATTAGGAACTCCTGCAATAAGGGCCATACATCTCCTTACCCCCAGCATAACGTCCTGAATCTCTCTTCAGCACATGAATGCAACTGCTCTGCTTTGCACTGATCTCATGCAGCAAAAACCCTTGAGCTTTGCTGGGGAAGCAGTTCATTTGACTGTATGGAAGCAACAGTGCATTCTGTGGTCTTGCATTTCTTTACCCTTGGGAAATAATTCAACAATCTTATTTTTAAAACACATTTAAAATATTTTAATTAGAGAAAAAAATTATTTCTGTATATTTCTATAAGCACACAATAAGTATTTAATTACTAGATGTGTAAAGCTCTTCCATGCTTTTCCTATAAGGTACATTTGAAAATACTGAGGGTGTTCAGAGTTTGTGGTTTTTATTTCTCCATACCAGCAGAAGACAGACCAGCCCTACTTGATATCTCATTGCATAGGATCAAGAAAAAAATATCTTTAGTATTTATCCACTGAATAGCTGGAGTATCCTCTGCTCAGCTACAGCTGACCTTGAGTCTAACATTTATTTCAGTGGCATAAATCTGTTGTTTGTATCGGTGTGTTCTTTGTAATGGTAGTATGGGGCAGATGGTACTCCTGGTTTCTACCAATGAAGAGTTCCACAACTGTTTGTACATGCAAGAACTGGGGAATGGACTCTGAAGAAGCCACTTTCTTTAATTCTTCGATTATGCATTAAAGTCTGGTGGATGGAGCAGGCTCTGATGTCCCAGAAGACAACAGCACCATGATTTTGGACAGAACAGACTGTGACATTAAACAGGGAATGGAAAGATCAGAAAATGTCTTGCAGCTGGACTGTTGGCTGCTAAAGCACCTTTGAAATTGCAGGCTGTGCTTGTGTGAAGTGTATCTTTTCCCATAAGCAGAACAGAAATGCCAGGGCTGCTGAAAATCCTAACTCCAGTTCTTGTTTCTCTCTCAGGGTATGGTTTGGGGTCTCACATCCCCCAGGGATCAGGGCACTGGGGTCAGGCACCAAAGCTCTCCTTTTTGAGAAGGAGAGGTGTTTCCTAATGCATCTCTACAGTTAACATTTCCTATGGACTACTGCTAACCCTGTAGCTCCTCCACTTTCCACCAATTGCCAACAGAGACTCCAAATTCCTGGAGCTATATAAAAGCTATATAGCCCAGGAATGCTTGTCTCTCTGCATCTCCACTCTGGGTTGTGGTGATGTGGATTTAAACAGTGTTTTAAGGCCTAAGTGCTGCCAAAAACCAAAAAAAAGGGTTTGCAGAAATAATGTCTCCACTGTACTGAGCAGTTCTTCCTTCTTGATCACGCCTGGCACGTGTCTCAGTTTAAAGACAAGTGTAGGAGAAAACGCTCTGGAATGAGTGTTTCCTCTGGAAAAAAGGTTCCAACAATCCCTTTCTATCAATGGGAGATTAATACTTTTGTGTATTTTAATGGAGTACGTAGAAACATTTTTCCTTGGTTTTATGATGTTTTAATTGAGGTGAAAATCCAGAGCTGAGCATTTTCACAAAATGAAAATTAAAAATACGTGACTAGGATTGAAACATTTTAATTCTAACCTCTCTCATTTATAACACTTGTTTCTCTGTTTTTTTAGAAAAGTGTTTTCAAAGGCAAAAGGAAGCAGAGTATGGGAACTATGAAGAGAAGCTTCATAGTGTAGAGCTCAAACAAGAAATTCCTCAAAACTGACTTCTACCATGGTTATTTTGCTAAAAATAAATCAACATTTTCCAGGAAAAACTCTCTATTAAAGGGATTCTGACCAGAAAAAGTATCACGACTTGTGCCTGTGCATGGTCTCCTGTTTTCTTAAGGCCTCCTGCATTGTTTTTCAGGGGACTCATTCCATGCCTATTTCAGATGCAGTTTTCCATTGATGCCAAATCGATTTTTGTCTCTTTTCTTTTATATATTTCTGTATTCTTTACACATGTATTTGTAGCCTATTAGTGTATTCGTAGTCCCAGTACTTTTCCTTACCTCTCTCCCTAGGCAGAAAGACAAAATATATTCCAGAGCTCCAATCCCTGGGGGTTACAAAGCCACTGTCCCTCCCTAGGAACCAAGGTCAAAACCAGCTCTTTGAGACACATTTTCATCAAGAGCGTTTAGTCCCTGAAAAAGGGAGACAGAATTCAGAGAAGGGTTGAACTGGGGGAAATTGCCTCACCAGTTATGTCTCTAATTGGTGATTTTTTGTCAATTATGCTAATTTTCTAAACTTAGAAAACTGTATTCATCCCGGGGGGGGATGCATTTTGTGGACATTCTCCATATCTGGCCCTGGAGGCCTCCAATAAACACCAGGCTTTATATTACCTCCTATACTAATATTATCTCAAAAGTGTGTGTTGTTTCATTTATAGGTTCTTTAAGGCATCACCACGGGTAGAAGAAGCTGGAACACACCCTTAATTGTGAAACACTGGACCTGTTCATTGCAATCTGATTGCAAAAGGCTTTTCATCCCTAATGGGCTGGTGGGATTGTTCATTGTCACTGATGCCTCCCCATATAGCAGCATGTGTCCTATTGCTGGATGGGCCAGCGTGGCCCTTAGTGAACGTGGTATGAAGGGACATGGAGCAGCTTTAAGTTAAGTGGTGGGAAAAGAACACTTAGAACGTCATTTGAAATTTCTAAGGTGTTGCACAAACATGAATTATTCTTTGCACTTACTGAAAAGACAAAACCAGCTGCTATTACCAAGCCAACATGGGGTAAGAGCTGTGATACACTTATTATTGTTTTTATATCTCTTCCAAATCATAGGATCGTAGGATGGTTTTCATGGGAAGGGATCTTAAAGATCATCCAGTTCCAACCCCTCTGCCATGAGCAGGGATGCTTCTCACTAGACACAGTTTCTCAGGCCCCCAACTTGCCTGGCCAACACTTCAAGGGATGGGGCATCCACAACCTCTGGATGGTTCACCTAAAACCTGGATCAGGAAGTTGTCCCTCTGCACGCTGCAGGAGTGCCCTTGGTTGCTTGCAGCCAGCTGCATTACTTTCCCAGCAGATGCTGGTGAGGCAGGTGTTCAAGAATGCATTCAGCGCAGGTAACTCGGGATGCAGCTGCAGTACAAGATGCAGGTTGAGCTCTAGGGGGGCAGGAGCCTGAGCCCAAGTTAAGAGGCCATGAACTACCCTTTGCATTACAAAGGGCACAGGGACCTGTGGGGCAGCCAGGGGACCAGACACTCCCAGACACAGCAGGAGCTGATGAGCCCCAGACCTTCATGGCCTTAGATGGTGAGGGTTCTATGTGTCTAAAGCACAGGAGCTTCTTTATTCCAGGTTCCTCCTCAGAGGCACCAGCTTGATCTGTTATTTTGTTACTTAGTTACAGCGTCATGATTAAATTGTTTTGAGGATCTGGACATCTCTGACGCTGCTATGGGAAACCCAGGATTAAGCTGGTAAGGAGACCTGGTCTGACTGTGTGAGAGTGGAGGGTATAGCTGTGAAAACCTTTGGTACCACATGAGGTGATGTGAGAGTGACTCCAGAGTGCCTCTTGGGTGTTTGGATAGGGAAGTTTCCTTAACACTGAAATCCTCCCTTCCTAGCCCACAGCCCTCAGCTACAGCTGGGGAAGTGTCCCAGCATGCTTCCACGATGACAATTTGATCATAAGTTTGGAAGGGACCTCAAAGTTCATCTGGTTCCAATGCCCCTGCCATAGGCAGGGACACCTTCTACTAGACCAGGTAGCCCAAAACCCCATCCAGCCTGGCCTTCAGCACTTCCAGGGATGGGAGCAACCTCTCTGGGCGCCCTGTGACAGTGCCTCACCACCCTAATAGTCCATCAATTCTTCCTGATTTCTAATAGAAAGAGCTTAAGGCTATTCCCCCTCTTCCCTGCCTGCCCTTGGGGAAGAGGCCCTCTCCAACCTTCTTACAGGCCCCTGCAGCCACTGGAAGGGCTCCTGGAAGCTCTAAACGGTCAACAGCCAACAAGAGCCGTTGTTACCGTGACCCTGGAGAGTCATGAGCCCAACATTCCAATGTTTGGGAGTTGGAGGCACGGACCAATCAGCAGGCTCTGGTCCAGGTGACATCACAGTGGCTGCAGAGCACCTGCGGCAGTTGGAGGGGCAGAGCAGAGGAAGGACAGAGCAGAGCGGTCTTGCTTCTCTCTTGTCCCCTTTGGCTATTGGTGTCATTCTGTCACTCTAGAAGCTTCTGTCACCCAGGAGCTTCTAGAGTCAGCAGAGGAACAGCTAAAGGAATGGGTAGAATTAATCCCTTGATGGACCTTCCTGCCTGTGAACTCCACAGGCTTGGAGAGATTGCAGACCTAGTGATGTCTGTTCGCCTCTCACCCACCCGTAAGGAAAAGCTAGCGCTGGCCTTGAAGAATGAAGGCTATATTCCAAAGCTGCTACAGCTTTTCCAGGTCTGTGAGAGTGCAAAGGACACCAAAGGCTTGCATCTTCTGTTTGACATTGTGAGAGGAATTTTGTACCTGGACAAAGCCCTTCTGTTTGAGGTGATGTTTTCTGATGAGTGTATTCTGAATGTCATCGGATGCCTTGAGTATGATCCTTGTTTGGCTCAGCCAGGATGGCACAGGGAATTCTTGACCAAAATAGCAAAGTTTCAGGAGATTATCCCTATCAGAGACCCTGAACTCAGGAAAAAAATCCACCAGATGTCCAGGGCACAGTGTATTCAGGCCATCATCGTGCCTAATCCATCAGATTTTGAAGAGGGCTTTCTTTCTACCCTCAATTCCTTCATCAGCTCCAGAAGGGAGGAGATTCTACATGGGTTGAAGGTAAGTGGTTTTTAATGTGGCTTAGATGGGATCTGTAGAGATCCCTCAGGCTGTGGTTTGGAAATGGTTTGTAGCTGGTGAACACTGTAAAAATTAATTGCAGGCACAATATTAATTGTATTATAATACAATATATGTAATATTAATTAATATATGTAATATTAATTTCATTTGCACAATATTCTGAATGCTTTCCCTTCTTTCTGATCCCTTGGATATTTTCTTTTCAAAATGATAAATTTCAGGTGAATATCTTAATGCTTTTTATGGGCTGTAACAAGATAAAGTCCTTCTCTTTGATTGCCAAGCAAATCCTTGGGGCTGGTTTTGTACTTAAGGAACATGCAACTTCCAATATTTTGTTCCAGGGACATTTATTTTCACTGTGTAATTTGTGTTCTTTTTGTGTGCTCCACAGAAAGATGAGGAATTTTTGCCTAAAGTTTTTGCGCAATTAACAAATGAAGCTACGCCTGGTGAGCAACGATGTGAGTTGGTAAGTCAGGAATCTTGGTGGCTCCTCAAAGGCTTTAAATGAGAGGGATGAAGTAGAAAATGAAACTGCTCTGAGAGTTCTGCAGTCTCAGAAGTACTACTGGAGAATCAGCCAGTACACCCCCCCAGTTCAAAATGCAACTGCTTCCTTCTTTCAGAGAGTTTTCTGACACAAATACACAAAGCTTTTTTTTTTTTTTTTTCCCCTGTGCAACAGATGAAGTTTCTCAAGGAGTTCTGTGCCTTTTCTTTCACATTACCTGAGAAAAAAGAATTTCTTCAAACTTTGGCAAAGTTGGGATTTCTTCCAACTCTCAAAGTGTTAATGGTAAGTGAAAACTTAGAACTGGTTTCAATAAAACTAGAAAAGCCCACAGCCATATAGTTTTGTTTGTTTTGTTTTGTTTTGTTTTTTAAATCTGCTGAGCACCTTTTTGTAAGTCTGATTGGAGAGCTTTGCTCTGCTAAGAGTGGAGGTTTCTGGTAATGTCCAGAATCCAGAAGCTACCCACAGTTCTGCTCTAGAGTAGCCTGGCTTGACTGCTCTTACTATTTTCACTTTTCATGATGGAGAAGTCTGAGGGCAGTGAAGTCCTTGTGACAAGGTCGTCAAAAGATGAAAGAGACCTTTTCATGTGGAAGCTTGATTATTGGTTTTTTATCAGAGAAAATCTCATCCCTTAAGGAATAGTCTGACTTCTTGTTGCATGTAAATGGGCACAGAAACTGTTGTACACCTTGGTTTGTACAGTTGGTCCTTTAGTACAAAATGAATTAATTGTGGATAGCAGGTATAGAATATCAATGAAGTCTTAGATATTCAAGCAAGTAGGATGTTGTGAATGTTTCCAGCCTAAGTAAGGGCTCTCAAATTCACAGACAACCTTGTGTCCTTTCTAAAAGAGGAAAATATTGGGGAAAGGATTTGCCTGGTTCCTTGTTGCTTTTCTGTAACCATATTATCATGTTTCTCATGAAAACTTTTGTAATGAAATTTTTTGAGTTTTAATTTAAGTTTTTAAACCGCCTCTTTGCAGCTTCACATGATAATAAATACTCTAGAGTTGATTTACTCTAACAAATTAATCTCTTTCTTTTATTATTATTTTTGTTAGGGAATGGATGATCCACAGGTTAGATCTGCTGCTGTAGATATATTGTCTTATCTAGTAGAATTTAGTCCAGCCATGGTCCGAGAATTTGTAATGCAAGAGGCCCGGCAGAATGAGAATGTAAGTAAAATTGGTTTGGAATTAGTTGAATTTAGCAGTTTTAGGGCAAACAGGAAAATAACCAGCAAATTAAAATCTAAATTTCTGTGTTTTGTTTAAATTTTTATCTTTAAAAAATTGCAATAAGCGGGGAACTCATTCCATTCTTGTGAGTAATTATTTTATAATTTCTTTCTTTGGGTTTTGTTTCTTTCAGGATACCCATCTCATCACTGAGGTCATTGAGCAGATAATCTGTAGTCCTGACGCTGAATTTGGAGGAGATAATCAGTCAATAGAGATTTTGTGTGCTCTGATTGATCCAAAGAAAATGCTGGCCACAGCTAGTGTAAGAGAGCATGAATGGCAAAAGACATGACACTGTTTTGGCAGATTTAAAAGCCTGATATTCCCTGTTGCTGTTATTGTGGGCAGAGGATAAAAAACTATAGGGTTTTTTTTACTGAGTGGAGTGTGGTCTGATGGTGACTTTAAATAAGCAAAAGATAAACTAATTGAACTAATGAAAGGTATATCTGGGGCATCATGCCAGTGTTAAACCACACAGCCCCATGTGTCAGTGCCATAGCACTGCCTGACCATAGCTCTCTCCATCTGGATGATAAATCCTGAAAGATTTAAATACATTGTAATGTACCAGAATACCTGTAAAAGGGTTTACAGGGTGTTCTGGGCAAAACTACCTGCATTTCAGAATGGTTTAAGGACACTTTGTCAAGCACTTTGAGTCACTTATGTTTTTTCCAGTTTATATTTGCAACCATGTTGGGGATTCTTTTAATGATAGCTAGATTGGTTGGATGTCTCACAAGTTTGTCCCCAAAAAAAAGAAATTGATCTTGTATGAAGAAAATGCTGCAGAGCCAAAGAACTCAGCTGAGTTCTTTGTAGGCTGTTTCTTCTGTTATTACTCTTTTTTGTTTAAAAGGTTGTATGTGAATGCCAGTGTTTAATGAAGTTGTTGTTGTTTTTTTAGCGTTTAGAGATAATTGAATTCCTCAATATCTTCTACAACCGTTACATTCGTGTTCTTACTGCACCGCTTCTGGCTGATACATCAGAAGATTGGTATGAAATAGGTAATGACAATTTTAATTTTTTTACCCTTTGAAAGGCCTTACAGTCCTGGTAAGAGCAATAGACCTGTGATTCCTGCTGGGAATATGCTTGCTGCAAGCTGCTGTTCCTCCAGGGACAGGGATTCTGCAGGCAGGAGTTTTCATAGCCCCTTCCTGAAGTTGGGAATGTTGACATAGATGGTATACTTTGTAAAGAAACAGTTCCTTCATGTATATTGAGAATAATGTCATAGTTTTGCTAGTCTAATTTTAAATAATGTTTACTACAAAAGCAAAAAAAAACAGCAGTTGCGTTTGCTGTTTTGTTCTGACCCAATGTCCTGCTTCCCAAAACAATCCAGTAAAACAAAAATCCACTAAAAATATGGCAGGAACTGCAATAGTAACTGGGCTCAGTGTACCTTGACACTACATTATTTTTTTTTTTTTTGTACAACTTAAGGCATTCTTTTTTCTCCTAGATAATTATCAAACAGCAGAAAAACTTGCCTCAGTTTTGCAGCTGCTGTCTTTTTGTGTGGAACGGCACAAGCATCACATGAAGATTTACATTATCAAGAAAAATCTGCTAAGGAGAGCACTGGTCTTGCTGAAATCCAAACACAAATTTCTGGCCTTGTGTAAGTATGGAGGTGTTGTGATTTCCTTCTTCAAGGCTTTGTGTGTCCTGTGTGGAAGGTGTATCAGAACCAATGTACACTTGAACTCAGAATTCCTGTTCCTTTGCTGTGTTTTACTGGCTACAATTAAGTAATTTGGAAAAGAAACAGGTAGCAGCTGTCTGTAAGCACAGATTTACTTGTAATGCAGTTTCTGATGGGAGGAGGATTGTTGTCTCTTTTCAAGTCTACAGGGATCCTTTCAAATCTTCATGACAGGATCCTTTATAAACAGATTGCTTGCCTCATTTCAGTGGAAATTGTGTCTTTTCATAATAATGTTCTAAATCTGGTTCTCCTTGTGGAGAGTGAATTAAATGTTGTGAGCCAGGATCTTTAAAGACTCAGGGCTGGTTCAGGGAGGGGAACAAGGAAAAAAGCACAGGAGGGAGCTAAGTTTAACTTCATGCATGCTGGAATGCATTACTGCTGGACTTGAGAAAGAGATCTATGGTTCCTGATGACCTTCAAATACCCAGGGAAGTCCAAGCAGGAAAGAAAGGTGACCTGCCAGCAAATGCTGGTTCTGCACTTTGGGGGTGCATCTTCCTCTCAGGGTAACACCAGGTTTTTCAATTCCTCCACAAGAAGGTGAGAGCCCTGGCACGTGGTTGTTGAATGCTCCAATGTCTTTCTTCACACAGCTGCTCTTCGCTTTATGAGGAAGATAATTGGCCTGAAAGATGACCTCTACAACCGCTACATCACCAAGAGGAAGCTGTTTGAACCAGTTGTGAATGCTGTGCTGGACAACAGGAATAGGTCCAACCTGCTCCAGTCTGCCTTAGCGGAGCTGTTTGAATTTATCCGAGTGGTAAGTTCAGCAGCAGCCTCAGCACTGGCACCTCCATGGCCTGGCACAGGGCAAGGGGCAAAAGGCAGATTTCCAAGATAGCAAACATCCTGTTTTAATGGGTCACAAATGGAACTGGGGTGCTGCTGAGTCTACTGTCCATTTCTAAGGGAAGTTTAATGATTCTTTCTAGATCTCAGCTCTTTTCCTAAGAATAAAGCTGATTTATTCCCCTTTGTTCTCGACAAGAATATTTTGGCTCTGGACAAGGAATCAGTTACTTTCCAAAATAAAGTTAAAAGCTTTCTGACTTTCTGCCTGTGAACATTTGAGACTGAAACCCTGTTTTGTCCTTATTCAGCAGGATATTCAGCTCCTTATTGCACATATAGTTGAGAACTTCTCTGATGCCCTGGAATCTGTCAAATACATTCCCACATTCCAGGGACTGAAGACAAAATATGAGCAAGAAAAAGACCGGAAAAATGAGAAACTGAACAGGTATGGCCCAGTTTTTTGTCTTATGAGGCTGCCAGTGCTGCCATTCTGCAGGCCTGCTGGTTGGTCTTTAATTTCCCAGAGAGCAGCAGAAGCAGGTGGCTGGGATTGGGATTGGGTTTCATTCTTGCTGAGAATGTCGTGGGTTAGAGTAAACCTCCACCTACCTTTCTTTGAGTAGAGCTGATGTGGTCAGTAGATTGAATGTTCTGTTCAGAGAACTCTCAGCTTATGAAGAACAGAATCTTCCTCTGTTCTTCTGAGTTAGGATTCAGTCCGACTCATTTTCACCTGGGTATTTGTGAAGCTTACGGTGAGGGTGGAAGCAGGGATGGAGCTGGATTACCTTCTCCAAGTCCACCTAATTCATTCTAAAGCTTTGGAAGGCATTTGTGACCTGGCTGAGTCTGAAACATCAGTCAAAGCTTCAATCACACACACTGCTGTGTCTCTTGCAGTGTCCCTTCCAAATTGCCTGATAACACGTTTGTCAAAGAAACCGTAGTCTTACCAGTGAATGAAGATCTGCAGGTCAGTGAAGGTGAAGAGAAGGCAGCTCCAATGTCACCACCAAGCTCCAATGGCTCCTGTCCAACCTACACAACCCTGACCACAGTGGTGACATCCCCCAAGGTGGGTGAGAACTTTTATGGAAGCTCCTGTCCCTCCTGTCCTCGCCAGGACAGCAGAGCAGCCTCGTGGAGCTTTAGCGGGTGTAATGCGGCACAGTCAGCAATAGCCTTGTACTGGGAATCTTTGTTAGGGACAAATCCACCCAGATCCATGACTAGTTTCACCAAGAGTGAAACCCTGACTAGTTTGGGGAAAGGTTTAAAGAGGACAAGGTGGGACTGGAGTCTGTTGTTAACCTGGTGGGCACAGGTTAAATTTGCATCTTCTGCATGACGGAACTGTTGCTGCTCCTTGGCTTCCTTCCCTGCCCAGCTGGTGCCCTGTGTGTGTGATATACAGATGGGATTGCCTTTTCTGCAATCTATTCCCCATCAGGGAATTAATAAGTGTTTTTAAGCAGACAAAATACAGGAAGTGATACCTCTTTAATGCCTTTTACAGCTGAGCATTATTTGAATCTTTGCTTCTGAGCAGCTACAGAGAACTTTGGGAAGAATTTTATTGCTCACCCCTAAGACTTGGGGGCAAAACAGATGCTCAGTGTGTAATTTTTCAATGTGGAAAATTAATTTTTTACCTTTTTCTAATTGGCAGAGAGGTCTATTTGAAGTATTTGCTCATCCTGATGATGAAGATGGGACACTGCCAAAGAAAAGAGCTCGTCTGGATTCCTAAGGGAAACAATGTTAAAATACGGAACCAGAAATCCATCTCATAGATCTCTCTTGTAAGATATATCTATATATATATACACATATAGATATAGATATATAGATAGATATAGATATCTAGATACAGATATATAGATATATATAGATAAATATAGATAGATATAGATATATAGATATATAGATATATAATAATAACTTAATGTAGTGCTTATATATATTTTTAATAAAATAGAATATAATACATAATTCTATCTTTTTATAAGATTTCCTATATATAAATTTATATATAGTATATAATTATATATAATTTTATATATAATATAATATAATTTTATATAATATAATACAATGCAATATACTATAATTAATATAATTAATATTATGTAATATAGTAGTAATATATAGTAACATATGTTAGGTCTATTTCTCTTAGAATACTTTAATGTGAAGCCATTTCTATGTTTTGGAGATTTAGTAGTTAGTTTAGGGTAGTAGCTAGTTTTATTTGTAGCTGTTTTTTAGAAAAAGAATTGTTTTCTGTATAGCTTTTTAAGATAGTTTGTTCCAAGTTTATAAACAAGTTAATTTTGTGTTAAATATCCTAATGTACTTGTTTTACACCATTTGTAAGTATGTGGTAATATTAATGCCGAGCTGTAAAATTCAGGAATTTAAATTAGACTCTGTAATTTCATAAGATGTGTTATTTGGAAGTTTTGTTATTTGTTTTAATAAAAAGTTACATGAAACTTTTTTGGGTGGGTTTGCTTCTTTTTCTGTGAGCTACTGTTGCAGTGCAGTCACACCCTGTGCAAAGGGTAACCCCACTCTTGGCTTCACTTTCAATCTGTCAGGACCAAGCCAGTACAGGGTTTTAAAAGTATTTCTACTCTTTTGAAACTGAATTGCAGGTGACATCTCAAACTTTGCAAGTAAAGTAATTATTTTTGCCTGAAGTTGCTTTCTTTTTGCAGATTTCAGTATCTGGCTGTATTCTACAGGCTCTCAAGAGGCTGAGGCCAGTGGTTGAGCAAATCTGCCTGCAGGGATGCTCAGCAGCCCTGCTGCTGAACACATCAGTGACTTTCCAGCATTCTGGAGAGTCAATGCCCATGTAATTCAAAATACTGATATATAAAGTACCGAGATGCTTGTCTTAAAGTTCTGTAAAACTAAGCGTGAAATTAGAAAACAAATCATTTTGCTTATTGATAATGTAATTTATTCTCAAAATATCCATCATTTCTCGGGGCCTGTGATGAGCTTCTTAAAACCACTGCTTCCTTCCAGCTTCTTTGCCTTTGAACTGGAGGACACCCTGAATCAGGGACTAACAGCCAGCTCGAGCTTCTCCAGCAGTGCACTGCTTTCCTCTCCTGTGCTTCCAACCCTCCCACTGACTTGGTTTTACCACAGGAGGCAGCTTGGCAGCACCCACCCTTCCTGGCTCATCAAGTACCTTGTCCTTGTAAAATGTGTCAGCATCATGGCACTTCTGTTCCCTTGGCTGAGGGATGCAGAGGAAGGCTGTCATCATTTGAAAGCTCCCAAAGAGGAACAAAAGAACAGAGCAAATTTTTTTACCTTTGTAAAATAAGACTTTTCAATAGAAAAATTTGGGGGTTTTTTCCCCATTCAGCTGTGGGGGGAAAAAAACCCTGAGATTGATTGGAACCTAAACAGTAGGTCACAGATTAAAACGAGAAAAAAAAACCTATTTTAACCCTTAATTGTTTAAGTTATGGTTATCACAGATGTAACATTTATTCCCACTAAGCTGCAGCAGTCCCCATTAATGTGACACTTCACCTTGCATCAGGAAAATGGGGTTTTCCAAAAACATTCCATGTTTATCTGAACCACATGCTAAGGCCAGGTGCTTGAGAAAACCTACTTGAAGGTTTTATACTTTGGTCATCTTGGCTGGGTATGAAATGGAAAAATCAAGCAAGAAGCAATGAGCTGCACTGACAACACAAATCACTTCAGCAGAAATCTTTAGCATATTTGTCAGAGCACTTTGTTTAGAAACCTGTAACAGAAACTCAGTTTTTATTCAACAGGATAGAAGGAACTTTCCACTCCCAAACCTTATAGCTCAGGGGGAAATTTAATTAATATTTCTAGGATATTTTGTTATACAAATTATTTAATCACTTAAGGTTTCTATGAGGAGCTGCCCTCTTGACTTCTCAGGGCTGATAATTACTGTATCTGGAGAGAAGGGATAAAGGAATCAGGTAAGATTACCCCTGAAATGAGGTGGAGTGCAGCAGGGCAGGAGTGAAATGCAAAATTAGGAAAACTGAAAATGGATAAAATTTAGTTAAGTGGAGACATTTTACGCTGAAAATACATTTATATTAGAAAAACCAAAAAACAAACAACAAAACCAGACCAAACTAGAATAAATGTAACAACTGTATGATGACTCTTGACCAAGGCTGGCTTTTTCTTAGTAGTCTAGACTTTTAAAAAATTTGAGTTGTTTATTTTAAATGTGTGTGAACAGATATCACCTCCCCTGCCATACACACAGGGAAATTTAGTCCTCACTTAATAAGAGAGCGCAGGAGCCATGAAATCATGAGTACAAAGTGCTTCTCTGAATTATCTACTGATTTAAGGTTTCTCTCTGCTAGAGAAACCTCTCTGTTACAGAAGTTAAGTAAATCTCTCTGCATGGAAAGTAAACCAGGTTACAAACAACTTTTTTTGTGGCTATTTAGATATAGCTCATGTTGGTGAATTCCAAATTAGAGAAATGCAAAAGGATCAACATTTCTCTAAAAAAAATTAATGTGCAAGCCTCACACTGGTTGCATTTCTTGTCTCCAGAAAGCAGCAAAAATCTGGGTGGTTTCACCCCTAAAGGTTCTATGTATGAGTGGGCAAAAAAGTTTGTATTTGTGCAAGTGGTGGTTCAAGAGTAGGATAAATACACAGCTCTTCCATATCTTCCAGCTAGATGTGGGATCAGGAGGGCTTGTTTTGGGTGACCCTCATGTATGTGCCAGACACTGCCACAGGAGGTACACACAGCTTGCAGACTGCTCACCACATAAAGCTACTTATTTTCTAGAGCTTTCTCTCTGCTGACAGCTTATATTCAGCGTTTAGGAGAGACTAAATCATGCAGCTGTATTTACAGAGCAATGCTATTTTTCATTCCATGGCAGAAGGATAGTTTTCCCACATTTATCAGAAGTGGAATCTCTACAAATTAGACATGGAAGTCAAGAGGAAAAAAATCCTTTCCAGTGTATCAAATGGCTTCAAACTTCCCAAGATGACTTCTCTGCTCCTTCAGTTTAGCAAATCCAGGACTCAATGCCCTCTGCAAGATTTGCTCTGAAAGCTGTGTTCACTCCTGAATTAATTAACTCAGAGATAATTAACTCACAGTTAATTAACATGCCAAACACATGTTACTGTGGCTGTGCAGCTACAGAGATCCTACCATAACCTGGATATATTTACTTCCACTAATTTACTGTGAATTTACTGTGGACATCCAGTAAATTTATCATAGTCTTAACCCTCGCTTTTAGATGCCAAATTGGTTCAGTTTCCCCTGTTTCACTTTGTAAAGCTCTCTGGAACCTGGGGACCTTTTCTTAACTCCCTTCTGAAACCTTCCCAAGGCTGCAGTGGCATGAACCTATTGTCTACACACAGGTAATAACTCCCTATTGCAATCTTGGCAGCCATCTACTTATACAAGAGGATTGATGATGGGAAGAGGTTAATAAGGAGAAAAGGTGGAAAATATTGTCATAATTGCTTTGTACATTATTGAAAAAGTTTTTAGAAGAGGAAAAAGACAGTTTTTTATTATTTTGATCTACAATACTATAAAAACATTATAATGAAGATGAGTACTACTGTGAAATTTTTTTGTTTATTTGAAAAGACTAATTATTCTTGAATGCCTCGTTGGTAAGTTTTCAGTCAGCTTTGACTACTGATCAAATGGCTGAAAGCCAAGCATTATTTTCTACCCATGTTTCACTTAGGCAGACAATCAAGGGCATTATCCCAATTATACAACGATTATTTTGGAAGAAGAATGTACCATTTCAATCCATAAATAATGCATTTCACCATCTTAGCATGGTGGAGGGGGGCACTGGAGCTTGGTAACTGCAGACTTCTGAGAAATTGCTTTGTAGGGATTTTCAAAGGTGCCATCATGGAGGCAGGTGTCTGTCCTGCAAGTCAGATGGCAAATGGATATTATTTAAGTTCTTCTGGATTGCTGCTTTTTTTCTCAAGGATCACCACTGCTGCATGGTCTGTCATGTATTTTGGGGCAAAATGGGCTGAGTCAGAGCTGGTGCTTGGACCTTCCCCTACATTTCCAGGGACAGACAGTACCAGCTCCTCTCTTGGCAGACTCATATCTGCCCTCCTTGCTCAAAGTAGCTCAGTGTAATGCTGGAGATGCCAATTATCCCTACAGAGAGTCACTCACACCACTTTGTCACAGACAGAGCGGAGTTCTTGGTGTTGGACCTTCCCCTTCTGAACTTGGTGACTTCCCCCAAGTAATGCTATAGGAATGCATGGAGTGCCAGCAGGGAAAATTTTGTGTTGTATCCACCCTAGTCAAGTAATTTAGTCTGGAGTCTATAGGTGTTTAGTGAGAAGAGTAAAGTATCCAGTAATGGTGGGCTAAAAGTTCTTAAAACAGTGTAATATCATGCTTTAAAAGGCTGTGTCTTAATGCACAGGAATATAAATTACATTGGTATATCCTGATTGTTTTTTTTTTCTCTGAGCTTTAGAACTTGCTGTATATTACTTTGATTCTATTTATTTCTGAACATTTAGTCACCTGTATCCCTCGTGTCCTTTTAGCTTTCCTGAATATAAAAGTGGAGGTAGCAGCTGAGTGGAACACTTGGAATATGGACTTCAAGATGCAGATTTTTGACTTATTTATGAAAGTAAATGCCTCATCTTTACTTGTCTCTTCTAGTTCAGGTGTTAAATTCTCTTTCCTCCAGCT